CCGGCTCCGGTGAAAGAACTATATAGGACAATTGTCCAAAAGGTTCACGAGGCTGACGCGACGTTCGTCCCAAAAAAGCAGCACGCACTCGGATGAACCGCAGGCTGCCAAAAAGGGATCGGCGACTTCTGAAAAAAGTTCCCGAATCTTTTCAAAAATTTGACTACAGGAGGTACAGAAGATGAGCTGGCATCTTGTAAAATGCGGAACCGCTGTAAATCAGAAATCCGCAAATGGACCATACGAAACCAAGCCACAATTGTGGACATCGCACGAAAAAACGCCACAGAAACAAGCCACCCGCGTTCTCCTTGAGGGACAGAAACGGAGAACCGACGAATGACCCAACAGTGGTATCTGAGATTTACGGAGAACACTATGCGTGTCTATACTCAGCCCCAGCGTCTTTTTCACGTCCACTCTTGACAAGGCGGAAATACGAACAGCTTCTGACCGACTTGGTCTTCATGGTGGAGGACATTCGTCAACTCTTGCACTAGCTCAACCCATCATGCGCGTTGGGGCTCGACGAAGTCCATCCGAGGATCCTGAAAGAAACGTCCTCCACACTGACAAATCATCTACACATGGTGTTTTGTCAGTCGCTTGACGAAGTCCGCCTTCCTTCTGCTTGGAAGGAAGCGATTGTCATGCCAATCTACAAAACTGGTGACCGACTATCGCCTGACGGCCACAGTCTCACAAGCCTAACTAGCGTGCCGTGCAAGGTGATGGAACGCATTCTGGAGCGAGCTATCCTAGATCGCCTTACTTCCGGCAATCTGGTATCTCCAGCCCAGCAAGGATTTCTCCCAAACCGTTTTTGCGTGACAGACATACTCGTGTTTATGGACAGCTTAACCCAAGCCAAGAACGAAGAACTCATATCGGATGCCATATTTTTCGACTTCTCAAAAGCATTTGATAGGGTCTCACACATCCCGCTGCTTCACGAACCCGAGTTTTACGGGATTCAAGGGAAAATCCTTCGCTGGATCAAGGCGTTCCTATCAGACAGATCATTCCGAGTGAGAATAGGCTCGACCTACTCTTCTCCAGGGCCTGTCTCCATTGGAGTTCTTCAAGCTCCCGTCCTGGGACTACTCCTGTTTCTGATCTACGTCAACAACCTCCCAGACGTTCTTGCGAGTCCATGTCCACTTTTTGCGGACGATTTGTAATCCTAGAGTACCAATGTCAGTGCTCTCCAAATGGATGTAGACGCTGTCAAGCAATGGTCGTTGGACTGGCACCTTCCTCTGAGTGACAAAAAAATGCGTCCATTCGTTCGGAGGAGGCTCAGTTAATGCCTTTGTCATACGTGGTGAGAAAGGACCAGAAAACATCATGAGGATAGATGCCAAAAAGGATTTGGGCATCTGAGTCTCCTCAAACTTGTCCTTCTCACTGCAATATGAGAAATCGGCCCAAAATGCATTCGCCATTTTACGGATGATCCAACGCACCTTCTCCCGTATTACTCGCATGGACTTCCAAATACTCTATGGGGCCTACGTCAGACCGCTCCTGGAATACGCTNTGGCAAACAGGTTTTTTTACCGCTGACCCAGCGAGCACGGCGGGGACATATTCACGGAGTCACGGATTGATACACAGGATCGAGGCTTTTGCCCAAGTTTACCGGGTCGGTTTTGCTCTTGTTGGTCAGTGGCTGTCGTTCGCCTAAAAGGCACAAGTGAAAAAAGGGTGTAGGACTGCTCTTTATGTTCTCAGCGCGGGGCAGTATGTTTGCCAGCGCGAGGAATCGCATAAATAAATGTCTAATAGTGCTTTAAATTGGATTCCAGAAGGAGCGTGTACAACCTTCCGAGGAAGGTCATTCCACGCAGCCATCACCCGAAATGAAAGAAAGTTTTGTCTAATGAATGTGTGCCCTGAGCTTGAAAACTTTGTTACTATGACCCCGCCGGGTGTTTGCTGGATCAACGGTAAAAAACCTGTTTGCCAAGCTTTCTTAAGAAAATTTTCAAGCTCAGAGCACACACATTCTTTAGAAGAAGTTTCGTCTCATTTCGGGTAGTAGCTGCGTGGAATGACCTTCCTCCGTCGGTTGTTCACGCTAATTCTAGAACCCAATTTAAAGCACTATTAGACATTCATTTATGCAAATCCTCGCGCTGGCAAGCATACTGCCCCGCGCTGAGAACATAAAGAGCAGTCCTACACCATTTTTTCACTTATACCTTTCAGGCGACCGACAGCCACTGACCGACGAGCATAAAATCGACCCGGGAAACTTGGGCAATAGCCTCGATCCTGCGTATCAATCTGCAAATCCGTGAATCCGTGACAGTTCTCAATTACTTCTCAGTCTCCCGCCAGAGAAAACCGATGGCAAACAGGCGGTAGTCAACGTATTTGTTTGAGGCAACACGATGCTGCGGCACGAAAGATATTAAATTCAGTGATTCCAAAGAAGTTACCCAGCTTGCGAACGTTGAAGTATGTGGTGTTTTGCAAATCAATGTTACATTTTCCCCATTTTCTACTCTCTTCATATAAACTTGAATTGCAATTTGTAAACACTGTACACGTATCATGACATTTTGTTTTATTGTACCAACAATTACATTAAAATCGAAAATGGAAATACACAATTTCTTGGCGCGACTTCCCTGCTTTTTGCTGAGTCAGTGAAATTGCATCCGATTGTACTGATTGCTGTTTGCTGAAGTCGTGGGATTGGATCATTGTGTTTGTGTGTGAACTGTTGAACGTCACAATAACTCCTTGTGACAATTTCCAGCTGTGATAAATTCCTACCGTGGAATTTACTTCTAACACTCGAACTATCAGTGGAGAATATCCTTTTTACTCTGGATATATTCTTCGCCACCGAATACGATTCCTGCACAACATTTCGTGTAGTGGGATTATTGGACCCTCAATTTAGTGAGTCTGTTCCATTCACTCGTCCATTTCTTATTGCCATTTGTTATTTCTAATCTGATATTTTGATTGTATATTTTATTGAACACGCATACTTAGGTCCTTGTCCGCTACAAGTACGCCTCACAATGTGTGATCGAGCCGCCAGTGTCGTTTCCCATCTTGAGGACGACGTGCAAATTATTTCCGGTGGCAGCTCAGGTTTCTCCTTTTGATCGTGTCAGCGTTTACTGCGTACCCTTCAGTAGAGGCGGGGTCACCTGCGACCACCTATTGTGTAGGTGAGAAAGCCACTATGAGTGTGTTTCACAATCATGCGCGGTCAGGTCAACCAATAGAAATGGGGAATCAGACAATATCTTTGATGAACTATCACTACGGAAATCGCGCTTAGTACTGTAAAGTGAATGAGAAAAAACACATTTGGAATCTTGGACAGAAAGGAGAAATCAAAAGGATTTGGTAATAGTAATATTTGATGTGGCAACCAAGAGCATGTCGTATCTTTTGAGAAATCATTTCCATCGTGCGGATACTGAATGGCCTGAGTGCCCATTCTGAGTGGCTGAAACCTATATGGCGGGAATATTCAAAAGTGGAAATGTGGCGGATTTGAGGTTTATGATTGGTCCCCTTGGACGAGGTAGAGAATTATGATGGGGTTGTAGCAGATAAAAATTCACATTGTTAACAGATTTCCAAATGCAATGAAGGCCGATAATATGCGATTCCCAGTAGTTCAACACAGTTTAACACAGCTTACATGTGACAAGTGTAGTCGCCCACGCTGTCCCTAAATATGACGGTATCACAAAAGAACGGTGATATTCGTGCTTAGCGTCGGTAACGGAAAAGTGAGTAATTAGAATAACCCACACTAAGCAGTTAATGCTAGCATGTTCGCCGTTGTCACTCAACACCGATCACTTGTTGTGGCACAATTAGTCGTTCGATAGAAACGATTAGCATGCGTATAACTGTATGCGTCACTCTAGATGCGCACCTCGAAGGCCATGTATCATGCGAATTGCGCTCAGTAAGTGCAGAAACCAGTATTTTCATTGAACGACCTAATCCTGGTTTATAATAACAAAACTATCGGTGCATCCTTCGCAGCCGACAGATCAACGATAGTGCTTGCGGTTATACCGGAGCTGGTCAGGGATTTTATAATTCCGGCATTTCACTCTTTAACTCAAAGTATTATGTGGACATAAACAAAATTTGCCGGTCATTTGAAAACCCAGAAGAATGAGAGCAATTGTTGATGTATTTAGTGAACATTTAATGATACTCTTGTTTATTTATATCACATTGTTGGTGTGGAACCTTGGTAACGCAATTTTGTCCGGGAGGCACCCTTTCAAGTTGTTGCCATGATACCCCATTTTCAGAGAGTCACCGTTCCCTCTTGCCTCCAAGGCGTCCTTGTTACATGTTTGACGATGATGGCTTGCACGGATTGGTGGTTTCACACGCCATACAACCGACAAGATCCCAAATCTACGGTGTTCCTGTATCCTAGAATATTCCTCTTGAAGAACATTTATTTTTTGTGTGTAGCGAAGGTCCCGTATACGAGTAAAACGTTTGAAGTGAGGCACCCAAGAAGCGTAGACAGTGGCTCAGCCACACGAGGGTGCGGGGCTCCTGCATACATTACTAAACACATGCTGCCAGAGGCAATCCTATGTTGTCCTGGAACCACCACCTTTCGGAATGACTCTGAAGGTGTATGCGAAACAGGAAAATTACGCCCTGTTTTCTCACATACGCATGCTTATCTTCAACGCAAGGCCTGGATGCCTTGGTTGCCGTGACGACTGCGTTGTTAGAAAATATGAAACCGCTTGCCAGGAAACAATTTAATTGACTGCTTGCAAGCAGTCATCGAAAATGTGTTCCGCACTTTACTTGGAAAATAAACGGGAAGAGAATTGGTAAAAGGCTACCAATGATGTTTAGGCCGCTGTCAGAATTTCCACCCTGGATGCGTCTATGACACCTGCTGTGGGTAATACACACCTTGGCACACGACCTGCGCAAACCTGGACCGCAAACGTTCGCAAGAAGCTACAGCAGTATCGAAATCAGACGATCCCAGGCGGACTATTGCCTCGCAAATACCCAATTAGATAGTTCGAAGAATTTTTGGCTGAACTAACTTGTCTTTGCGTGAAAGCCTGTACTGATGCATTATTCTCAGCAGCAGTAGCTGATGGTTGAATATCGTTCGGTGGCAAAGAACATGCACTAGATTCAACCAACGGAACCAGCGACTGACCGTGATACTCGGCAGCAAAGGCCATGCGGCGACATGGCAGTCGTTCGAACAACATTCACGGGGACGCCATTCTCACAAAATGTTCCACATCAACATCATAACATTCCTGTGATTTATTTCGACTCAGTTCGACCAACACCATTACAATCGGTGATAACCACATGCCACAAGCGGAAATCACCTCTGTTAAACTGCTACGTCGAATCTGCCCGAAGTACATCACCGTACTTCGGGAACAAACCACGAAGACGAACGGAAGTAAACGGCAGAACATTTAGACTACCATAATCGCAAACAGACACAGCCACGGGTCCGAATGAGCGCAACGCATCCCGGATACCCTGCAGATCCCAAAGAGGATGGGCGCAGTGGCGCAGTTTATCGCGCAGGACTCGCACATCATCACCTGTTTAGTATATTTCATAATTTTCTCGGTCGCAGTCGCGGATTTCTAAGGAGGACTTGAAACGCCTCATCAAGCCAAGCGCCACTCGTTCTTGCTGGACATTTAATTGTCGGTTTGCAGCATACCCTAGCCAGTGAGACGTACGCAGGTCATGCAAATGTTGGATGTTATAACTGGCAAGTATCAGACGACCGTTATTGTGAATGACTCACATGAATGGTCAGCAGTCGAAATCAGCGTAAATGAATATAGGTTTATTGAATGATTATGCAGACGATAAGCAACATAACAACGACAATTTTCATTGGCGTTCCCGTGTGAACGTGCACGCACGCATCTACATTTCATCCGAAGATATATTCTCCGAACCTACGGGACATTATACCATAAAACCATCCTACTTGACAGCAATCTACTGGAGGAGCTTCATAGATTCATCATAATAGTCATCTGCCATACCTACGTTGATACAGCACTGGTCGCGTTTGACAGGTCGCGGGTACCCGAGCTGCAAGCAGAACAAACAAGAAGTGACAATTTTTAGCTCCGCACCGGTTTATATACCATCCCAACACAGGGCCCCTATGGACTTGGGACAGTAGTAGCCGGGTTCAGATAGCAAGACACTAACCCTGCAAACGCGCCCCAATAACTTACATTAATTTAAACAAGCAATAATAAAATCAAGGTGGATTGCAGTAATTTTTGGTTTGAACATGTGTAACAAAATTCAGCATCTTTGCGTGAAAATCTCTACTTCATCCGCAAAGGATCTGCGGGAATTGGAGTTTTTAGACGAAGAATCAGAGGCGTGATAGGTACTGTACCTGACGATAAACAGATTATGGCTTAAATTCTGTGCAACGCGAGGTGTTAAATGAGGAAAAAGGTTCATTTTGCTATGCGGGGATAATCCATTCACAGCATGTGATGGAGGAACTTGGAATATTATAAATAGGAGACGCAGTTTTTCTTTAAACTGTTGCCGCTAATGGAAGAGTCGCTGATAATCGGTTCGATTTCCTGTCATCAACTGTTTAATCCGCAAAACTCCACGTATCTAGCATTGAGTGTTCGAGTAGGACTTGGGACTGATGGAAACTCAGGAATTACAATGATCTTACTATCCCTTGGTTACGGGATTGTGTTTATCACTACGGTCGTGGTCAATGCATTAAAACAGCTCAGTCGGACGTATTCCATTTGGAGGTTAGTTTAAGGGGGCAAAATTCCAATTGATAATTACAGAATCGCAATCTACGATCAGTCCATAATCCTCATTCTGCAAGTTGTCGATGGGAAGAATAATTTTACAAGATGAGCAAAACTTCCAACCGAGGAATCGCAAATCGAGAGGCCGGTCACGTGATGCGGTTTCTGTGATTGATGGATGAGCGGCATCATATCTAATCTAAGCGCGAGTTAATCACACTGCTCGTCAGCCAGTCAGTCACTGGCCGGAAGACTGGGGGTTCCAAACTCGTGAGATGCGCACTGTTGATGATCCTCAATGAAGATAAACCACTGTGCACTGTTGGTTGAATTTCAGCATAGACTAGTATCACTGACAGGATGGAATCCCGATGGGAATTTACAAAATTACATCAAACTACAATCAACAAAGTTTACTCACCCAGTTTCTAAGAGCTTTTCAATCTAAACTAAATGCTAATTGAAAATATAGAGTTATTTTTACTGCACAACCCTGACCGCATGCAAAAACGCCTTTCTCAAACTTCTTTTCACCCGTGGTTTCGTATACTTGTTTTGTCCTGACTATGTTGTTTAGACATCGCAAGGGTGCGGACATCGAGAGTTCGTCTCATAGAGCTCGATACTCTACATAGTTTGCTGATAACTGCACAGAGGCGGTTAGTCACTGGCGTGTATATAGCGATGCCTTCAACAGTAATGCCTGGGAGCTGAGACGCTTTACGCCTGTGTCCTTCAGGGAAGTCTGCCACCGTTTTCCAATACCAAAAATAGAAAAGTTCAAACGAAGGACTTATCGTTCTGAGTGTAAGTTGTAATAGTTCCACCGAGTTCGGTTGGGTGCAGGTAGTCGTGTTTCTTTTGGCAGATTCCCTGCTACATGATCCTGGTTGTCCGCAGTTTTTGGTGTGTTGAGCCGGTCTGTGTTCCGTCGCGCGAGTGTTGCGTGTGTGTACGCGCTTGATTGTGTTCTGTCCTTATATATAGGTCGTTGCAATGAGCGGGACAGGAAAACAATGTGAAATCAACCTGGTGTCTTCAAAAGGTCATGGAACGGGATTGGACATAGTGTCCTATCCATGTCACGATTATGACGCGTGATTGTGAGACAGATTAAATGGAATAGGGGTAGTAGGCGCCGGTGGGAAACGGATTAGAGGAGTACTTAAGCAGAAGGATAAACTTTACAAATACCACCCCTTTAGAGAGGGATCTTCTGGGCGCTATCATCAATCCAGACAAGTCACGTCTTTTCTGGTGATGCACGTTGTGGTTTGTGGAACAAAACAAAGCACGAGGGAGACAGTGGATGCGGATGCACTAATCAGATTGGGCAACCGCTACAAATCCAGCTAAACCTCTCGTTTATGATTGTAGGTGTTCACAAAGGTTCGTACATAAAGTACGGCCG